ACCAGCTCTACATAGCTGAGAATGACCTTAAACTTCTGACCCTCCTGCCTCTACCTCCAAGTGCTAAGATAACAGGCGTGTGCCACCAGCTCTACATAGCTGAGAATGACCTTAAACTTCTGACCCTCCTGCCTCTACCTCCAAGTGCTAAGATAACAGGCGTGTGCCACCAGCTCTACATAGCTGAGAATGACCTTAAACTTCTGACCCTCCTGCCTCTACCTCCAAGTGCTAAGATAACAGGCGTGTACCACCAGCTCTACATAGCTGAGAATGACCTTAAACTTCTGACCCTCCTGCCTCTACCTCCAAGTGCTAAGATAACAGGCGTGTGCCACCAGCTCTACATAGCTGAGAATGACCTTAAACTTCTGACCCTCCTGCCTCTACCTCCAAGTGCTAAGATAACAGGCGTGTGCCACCAGCACCAGTGCTGATTTTGTGGCTCTGGAAATAAGCTCATGACCTGGGACATGCGAGGTCGGGTGGTTGAAGGAGAATGGCCCCCGCACGTTTATGTATTTAAATATTTGAAAAAAATAAATAAATATTTGGCCCCCAGTCGGTGAAATTATTTGGTAAGGATATGGAACTTTTAAAATGGAGCCTTGCTAGAGGACACATGTCATCACTGGGCATGGGCTTTGAGAGTTTGTAGCCTCACCCAATTCCTGCTTTAGGTTCTCGGCCCCTTGTGCGTGTGTATGAGGGGGGGGTGATAGGACCTTTCCACTTCCTGCTCTGGCTATCTGCCACCATGCCTCTCCCTCCACCATGGGCTCTCCCTTGGGAACTATAAGCCAAAATAAGCTTTAGTCTCTAAGTTGTGTTTTGGTCGTGGCGTTTCATCACAGCAGCAGGAAAGTAGCTGACACACTAGGTAAGCCATCTGCCAACTGAGCTGTGGGCCCAACAGGCCACTTTTCAGACATCTAACGTGGGAGTGGTGGCTCACACCTGTAATCTCAGCACTTGAGAGGTGGAGCAGGAAGGCTAGGAGCTTAAGGTCAGCCTTGGCTACACAGTGAATTTGAGGCTAGCCTGGGCTATAGTGGTCTCTCTTTTGTTTGTTACGATTTCGAGAAGCAGGTGATATATACAATTCACAGCTGACTGTGATTTGGGGCACAGTGCCACATAGAAGGCTGCTTGTGTCTGCAACCCCACAGCTGGGGAGGCGGAGTCAAGTGAACCCCCAGAGCTGACCAGCCGGATAGTCAGCTGAGTTAGTGAGCTCCGCATTCAGCGAGACTTTGTTTCCAGAAATATGAGGCTGACACCCCATAACCTCCAGCATCCACAAGCATAGGCACTCATGTGCACTGGCACCCACACGCACACACACACGCGCACACACACACACACACACACACACAGATTTCTGTCTCAGACACCTCTCCCTACACACCTGTCCCCTCTGACATGGTTCTCTGTGCACTCAGCTTTTTTGAGAACAAGGTCTAAATATTTGGACAAAATGCTCAAAGGATTGAACTCAGAATTTCACCTCCTTTAGTTTGTGACCAATTTTCCTGTTAGCTATGTAAGTTCCCAGTCACTGTGCCCTAGGCCCCTGTGAAGCTCAGAAGAGGACAAGGAACTACAAGACTGACTGCTTACCCTATGGAAGGGGCTGGCATTTCATCTTAAAATGTGTGTTTAATAAATCACTGCTAGCAGTTTTTAGAGCCTTTCCAGGACCTGTGAAGTAGCCTTTATGAATTCTGAAGTGGGGAAAAAAATGCCTGAAGAAAAAAACCAGAACAGCACAAGTGGTTCCAAGAAGCTTCTCAGAGGGTTTCCTCTTAATGTAAATGAGCAAGTGTGCAGGCCAGGCTGCAGCAGCTCTGGACTGCCCCCTGGTGGCAACATGATCCGGAGGCTTCTACCTACCCCTGTATCCATTCTGTGGCTCTTCTCCACCACAGTTTGCAGTTGCTCTCCGTGTGTCAAGATCGAGAGCCTCGGGGCGTTGGTGGTGCACGCCTTTAATCCCAGCACTCGGGAGGCAGAGGCAGGCAGATCTCTGTGAGTTTGAGGCCAGCCTGGTCTACAAGAGCTAGTTCCAGGACAGCCTCCAAAGCCACAGAGAAACCCTGTCTCGAAAAACCAAAAAAAAAAAAAAAAAAAAATCAGAGAGCCTTCAAATATTTCCTGGAGTGTCAGAAACTAACAAATTGTTCCCATTTTTCTCTCTTCTGCCCAAATGAGGATGGCGGGTTCTCCCAACTGAGTAACTTCCTTTCTGTAGCAGACCCAGGTACCTAATCTGACCATGCAAACCAACCAAAATGCACCAGGGACAGTCTCAATGCTCCTTGCATGGTCTTATCAGTATAAAACCATCCTTGGAAAAAGCTCCCCAACCTGAAGCCAGTGCTGAATGAAGGAGACTGGTCCTGGGGTACCATTCCCATGACTTAGTCTGAGAGAGGGAGAAGAGAGAACTCAGAGGCCCACCAGCCTGAAGGACAGAGTCCAGGGACTCCCGGGTGCCCTGAGGTTGCAGTATGGAGGAATGAGCCTTGGTGGCTGGCAGAGTGGCTGATGTTCTCCTAGGAAACAAACTCCTAAAGAAACAGCTGGGCCTTGTAACTGGGCTCATGTAGGAGTGGGGCGAGAACTAGAAGCCAACCATCTTTACTTGGGGATAAATGTGGTCCTGCCCACGGACAGAGAAGACCAGATACTGTGAGAAAGAGCAAAACCAATGTGCCTGTAAGACGCTGAAGGTGACAGAAACAGCATTGCCACGTGCAACTACCGCAGTGGCTTCCTGTGTCTCCTTGATGACATAGCTATCTCTAATGGCAGTCTCATTCAAGGCTACTGGTAAATCCTTGAGTGGAAATTCCAAGGTCAACAGGTCTAAATGCAGGAAAGTTGAGACTGCACCAAAATAAAGCTCGATGGCCTGACAAGATCAGCAAGCATGCCCTCTCCTTGCTTCTCCTTCCTGCCAGGTATGTAACTGGCTCCCACCTCACCTTTCCTAGAAGGCAAGGCCTGACGTCAGACTACTTCTAGGGAGAGATGAGCCAGAATGTACGATATGGCCATGGCAGGCAAGAGGTCTGCGTGTTTCCTGTCTCCAAGCGCCTAGGAGAGTGCCAGTACTCAATGAGTAAGAGATGAATTCAGATAAAACTGAGACTTTGTTTCACAAGTACAAAATTGAGGAACAAAAGAATTAACAATAGATCTCTATAGTTAGTATTCCACAGGTATTAAAGGTACCTTCAGGAGCCACAGAGATGGCTCCCAGTTGGAGAGCTTGAAGCTCTTCCAGAGGATCCCAGCTCTCTCCTGAGCATCCTCATTAGGGGGCTCACAACAGCCTGCAGCTAAAACCTGGGGACACTGCCCTCCTCTGGCCTCTGTGGGCACCAGCACACACATGTGCATGCACACACATGCACACAGACACAAATAAGGTTACCTTCATAATATAAGAGCTATAGCTTAGCTCTGAAAGTGAAAACTTACTCAAGGAACCAGTAATGTCTTAAAGCCTTAAGTGGGAGCAAAACTGGAGTCTTTTTATTGGTCAGCGGGACTCACAGAAAAGGTATGTGTGGCCCAGTTTCAATGAACCTGAACTCCACCATTGTGCTGGAAGAGGAAACAGTACCCAAACCAGGCCTGACTGCTGCTGTCTACAGAGCTGCCAACCAGAGCCCACTGACACTGCATTAGAACCTAAGAGAAAGAGTGCTCACTTAAGGTGTACAAAGCCCCAGTATAGAAACCAGAACCATGGGCAATCTATGGGGCCTCTGGTAGTGGATCAGTATTTATCCCTAGCATACAACTGGACTTTGGAAGCCCATTCCACAGAGGGATATTCTCTCAGCCTAAACACGGAGTGGGGGGGGGGGGCTAGGCCCTGTTCCAAATGATGTGACAGACTTTGAAGATCCCCCATGGAAGGCCTCACCATCCCTGGGGAGCAGAAAGGGGATGGTTGGGGTGGCTGGAGGGGCAAGGGAGGAGGGGAAGGAGTGGGAACTGGGATTCACATGTAAAACAAATTGTTTCTAATTTAAAATTTTTAAAAAGAGAGAGAGAAAATAAACCAGAACTACAAAAGTGTGAGTTCAAGGCCAGCCTGGGCCGTGGGAGACCCTTTCAAAAATATCCAAAAGAAAATGAGACATGACCCAAGCACTAAGTCAGCCTGGAGTCCTATTTCCTAGCCCTTTCCCTCTGCACACACTCGCAAGAGTTTCTCTTGATTGACTCAGCATTAATAACCTCTTATCAAATCTCCAATCTTAACCAGCACTTAGGATCACTGGCTGGAGCTGCAGATGATGCAGTCCCCAGAGCCCACAAGGCAGTCACAACCATCTGTAACTCCAGCCCCAGGGGATCGGACACCCTCCTCTTGGCCTCCAAGGCATCAGGCAAACATGTGGTGCACATTTATATACACGCGGACAAACACTTGTACAAATAAAGTAAGCATTTTTATCTCTAATATTGACTTTGTCCTGCTGAGACTGTCTCTTCTTCCCAAGTAGGGGCAGGGCAGTGTAGGGGACAAGCTTATGGACAGTATCCTAAAGACATTTTATATTTCAATAGCACTGATGGCCACAAAGAGAAGCAAAAACAAACAAAACTTCCTAAAACTTGCAGCTTAAACCTTTTGGGAAAATAGTTCTGTAAATTTTTTGAAGATCTAGAGAGACGGCTCAGTGGTTAAGAGCATTTGCTGTTCTTGCAGAGGATTGAGGTTCAGTTCCCAGTACCTCTGAGGGTACCAGGCTCATTCAGGCAAAACACTCACACATTTAGAAAGAAAAAAATTGATACCAGTGCCCCTGGCTGGCCTGGAATGTGGCTAAGTAAACATTAAACTGTTTAAGAGCATTCGGGTGTAACCCAGAGCCCCAGCGTGCCTGCTCGTCCATCCGATCACTGGGTTAGCCGGAGGCCACGGCGCTTCTGCAGCATGCCACTATCGCCGCTTTCCAATAATGAGACAAACCAACCCCTTCTTACACAGCTTTTATAAACCGCATCAGCTCCACAGCAATGTCATTTAGAAAACTTCACCTAAACCAACGAGGAGTCCAAAATCGAACCTGCAGCAGATGAGGGGAAAGTAGAGGCTGTGGCCGTCACACGCCAGCCACCCTGTAAACGGTCCTTTGTCCTCCAGAGTCCACGTTCAAGGCTAGGAGGAGCAGCCGAGGTGGGTCCTACCTCCCCTGTGGGGGCCTGAGCTGTAACTCACGCTCCAGCTGTTCTGCAGTCAGGGTGCCCTGGATGGCTTCACAGCCGGGGTTGAACACAGAGTAGGCACTCTTCTCTCCCGCTGTCTTCTCCTCGGGACCCCGAGTCCCCACGTACATCCAATAGAACATAGACAGGACAAAATAAGCCAGGCCAAACTCCAGTTCCACAAACAGACCCAGCAGGACCAGCCAGAGGAGAACCTTCAAGAAGGTGATGTTGGTCAGGAGAGACTGGCGTCGGGGCGAGATCAGAGGGACCGCTGCACTCTGTGGGGGCTGCTGGGCTGCTTCCTAGGACACAGAAGCAAACAGAAGTAAGAACGGGAGGGCAACGGAGCTGAGAAGACCCAAAGCGATTGGAAAGGGCATTATTGACTGCTCTGGGAAGGCTGCTGGCTCAGTGGTTTCTGTTTTCTTGCCTTCCTCTCTAAAACAATCATTGCCAGAGAGCTTAGGTACTCCATCCCAAACAAATCAACACGCCCAGCACTCAGCAGGGTGCGACCCCAGAAACCTGCCAGCATTGGCATGGGATCCACTCATGGAGCCGGTTCTGCTAACAAAACCTGCTTCGCGCTCCCAACAGAACCTGATCAGTAACTGATAATGCAGCAGCTGGAGTACTCGTCTCTCAGTCAGTCAACAAACCATTGCTGATTTCATTAGATGGGTTGAAATATCCAGGGTGACTTGGCTCTAAAATACAGACCATACCCAAAACACATTTAAAACAACAAACCATTATGGCCATTACCATGCTACACCACTATCCTATCTCATCACTCATTCCCAGGCCTGGGAAGCATCTTCTAACTAGACTCCTTGCCTCCTATCTCTCTCCATTCCCAAGCCAGCCTGTGTACAACTGCTGGATGAGTTCTCTAAATCACCTTCACCCTGCAGCGCACACATCAACTATAAGATCCCACTGCCTGCGTGTTAAAAGCCAAAGTTCTCAGCTGGGAGACCCAGCGCCACATGCTAAGGGAAGGCCCTGGTGTGTAGGTGGCTTTCGGAGCTTTGCCTCCACTGTTTTCTAAGGTTCTGAGAGCCTCTTTTTGATACATAGCAAGAACTGGGTTTTGTTCTGTAGCCCAGTACACGGGTATAATGGAAACCAAGGTCAGCACTATGTGTCTGGAAAAGCTCTCCTGCATTCCAAACTACTCTTCAACAACTCTTAAAGGGAACAAGATCCTATGTTGACTTTACCATCCATGAATGGGTCATGACTTGGATTTTGAAAAACAGGAGCCTAAAAATCTCCTGCCTCTTATTTAATTGGGTGCTGAGGACTAGGGCAAAAGATGGGAGACAGGAAGTTAACGGCACTAGACTGTCAAAAGGGACAAATGTGGAGGCACATACGGAAATCCCTCGATTAAGAGTGTGTCTAGTGCTCATTCATTCAGTTTGCCTTTCCGACAACAGCCGTGTGGCTGAACATCACTCACGCATAGGCATGTCTCAGGGAACATAGCAAACTGCTTCCTACCCGAGGGCCCTTTCCAGAGGGAGACAAAGGCAGAGACAACCATACAGAAAGTGAGATGGGTATGCGTGTGCCACAGGTTGACACCAGGTGTCATTTCAATTATCTTCCACATTTGTTTTTTACACAGGGTTTCTCACTGATTAGATAGACTGGCCATCAGAGAACTCCGGGAACCCTCCTGCCTCTGCCTCCTCAGTGCTCAGGTTACAATTTACCAATCTCAGCTTTTTATGTGAATGCAGGAGATGGCACTCAGGTCCTCATGCTTGCATGGGCTATCTCCTTAACTCCAGAAAGAACATTTGACCAGTAGGACCCTTTGAGCCAAGACTGGAAGGTCAGGAGTTGCAGGATGGAGAATGAACCCTCAAGGTTGAATTGCTGTACTAGAGGCGTTCCTAGAATAGTCAGTGAGGGGAGCAAGTTTCCATGGGATTCAACAGTTCCAAGCCTTTAAACTGCAACATGACAGGGCCTCATCATTTGGGAAACTACTTTCCTCCAAGAAAACTTGTGCAGAGGGAGATGAAGGGCATGGATATTTATCAGACAATACTGAAGAGAAGCTATTCCAAAATGGAAAGCTAAAGAATTTACAATGGGCCCGGTGTACAACACAATTACTAGGCGGCAATGGATTTAGACTTAGAAAATCATAATAAGGATTTTAATACCAGGGCAAACCCAGAAAGGGTAATAATCAGTGGAAATGAACCTCAAGTCAGTCCCTTAAGGCAGAATGATTAGTGCCAGTCCCGTCCTGGCATTTCCTCTCATCAATTTCTACATTTTTTTGGGGGGGGGTTTTCGAGACAGAGTTTCTCTGCGGCTTTGGAGGCTGTCCTGGAACTAGCTCTTGTAGACCAGGCTGGCCTCAAACTCACAGAGATCCGCCTGCCTCTGCCTCCCAAGTGCTGGGATTAAAGGCATGTGCCACCACCGCCCGGCCTCAATTTCTACATTTTTAATAAAGGAAGCTTGCTCCTGAGTTGGGTTTCTCTAGGCTCCACTCAGTGATTTCATATTCCTTCAGAGCGCTTTGTGTGGGTTATATGTTGTCTTTACCTGGAGCAGGGGAGGGGAGTGGGAGATGCATTCCCAAGTCTGTTTACTGATACCTAACCAACAGTTGTTCAATTGAGTGGTACGAAATGCACCAAAGGAAATGGATGGCTGAGCAGCTCTAAGTCAGAAACCCAAATGCTACAGAGAGAGTATGGAGTCAAAACTTAGCAGCCATATACTACTAAACTTCCTTAAACTAGACACCGTCCAGTTGTGGGGGGCACTAGGTAAACCAGGAATGCTAAACATGCAGGGGCATCTCCTCAGTGGAGGAAATAAAATACCTGCAATTCGTCCAGAAAGCTGGGAGTGGACACTGTTAACCACCTGGTGACTTCTTGCTGTCGGCAGAGGCAGACCTAATTTAACCCCCCCCCCCAATGACTATCTCAGACTCTCCCTCACTAGACCTTATCTTTAGCTCCCAGTTAAAAGAGCCGCACGTACTTTAGAGCCTGTTGACCTCTATGCTCTCTCAGAGACACCAGGTCCTAGGCCCTTAAGCTATAGAACCCTCGTCATGGTCACACATACTTCATAAAGGAGTGTCTAAGGAGTCATATCTTAAGCTTTTCTGTGTACCTGGAACTGGAATGATTGTTGCCTGGGAAATTTTTCCAAATTCTATTGCGTTTAAATATGCCTACAATAAACCAATTGGCATCAGAATTTCCAACATTTGGTCCATGTTGATGGAGCCAATCTGAAGTTTTCATTCTCATCTCTTCGAGGTTCCTTTACCTTCCTGCTGTAACACCTGCAGGGATGGCCCTCGTGTAATAATAGATCAACCTATAGGAAATAATTTTTGAGGGGTTTCCAGACAAAGTTTCTCTGTGTAACAGCCTTGGCTGTCTTGGAACTGGCTCTGTAGACCACCAGGTTGACCTCAAACTCACAAAAATCTGCCTGCCTCTGCCTCCTGAGTGCTGGGGTTAAACGGGTATGCCACCACCACCCAGTTAGGAAATAATGTTAATGTAAGAAGCTGTCTCTGGTATAAATGTCAACTGAGGATGGAGTGTGGCTTTGTTTTCGGCATGGCTTCTTGCTAGCATAGCCCAGACCAGTTCTAAGTTTACAATCCTCCTGCCACAGGTTCCTGAGTGCTATGGTTACAGGCATGCACCTCTACTCTACTATTTTATATTTTGGGGGGTCCTAAAGATAGATCCTAGGATCCTGAACATGTTGGTCAAGTGTTCTACCGTTGGTTTATATTCCTGTATTTATTATTCATGTATCATTATATTTTTGACAGTGCTGAGGTCAGACCTAGTACATCAAGAGAGTAAAAGAAGCACTCTGCCACTGAGCTGCTACTCCAGAGCTTAAACTTTTTAAAAATTCTTGAGACAGGGACTCTTGACGTTTCTTCTGACTTAAGCACTCCTGACCAGACAGCTACATGCTCCAGTCACTCACTCCGTTTAGTCTCTGCTTGAACAGCAGCCTCTTTCAGAGGTCCTCCTTGATCACTGATCACACAGCACCATCTCCATTTCTTGTCTGCTTTGCAGCATTTATTAGCACTTGATATTAAAGATGAACTTGCCATTAAATATGAAGTGGCTTATTTGGCTGTTGCTTGTCTTTCCGATTACGATGTAGAAAAAAAAAAGAACTTGGTTTCATTTATGACCTGCCCTTGAACTTGCAATCCCCTGCCCCATCTCCCAAGTCGCTAGGACTACAGGTCTTCACTGTTAAAGGAAATTACCCCCCCCAAAAAAATCAGGACTATAAAACAGGCCAAAGATCAAAACACCTGCCACTCATCGAATTCTGCAGAGCAGAGCAGCCCACCCCCATAACACGCACGAGGGCCAGGAGGGCTCACCTGAGCCCAGAGGTTGTACAAACAGACTCTAAACAGTCAAAAAGCTGTTTAACCAGAAACTGCGTTTCTGGGTCTGGTAAAGCCATCCTCTCCTCCTCCGTGGCCCTCCATGGCATGTTCTCATGTACCCTCAGACAGGGTCCAGGTGTGCCAACTTTAGACCACTAAAAGTCTGTTCTCACTATTTAAAGGCCAAACTGGGTCTATTCTTCCTTTCCTTCTGCTGTACTTGGTTCTTTTTATGCTAAGGCCTTGTGACTGCTGAAAAGCATGGCGTGTCTGTTCATTTCTTGTCAACTTGACCCCAACTACAGTCTTCTGGGAGGAAGGAATCTCAACTGAGAATTGAGACTGTCGGTAGGCCAATCTTTATCCTGAAAGCTAAAAGAAGTCCTTTCCTCCCCCAAGTGTTTATCACAGTAACAGAAAGCAAACTAGGACACAGGTTTTCCCCCTTGGAGTGTGTCATATTCCCACCCAGACATTCCCATGTCACAGGCACGTCTCCCTGCCAGGACATTCCTGAGTGAGAACTATGTGAAGACACAACGAGATTCGAGTGGGCTATCACACTAATCCAACTGTTTCCACCGTGGTCACTCACAATTAAACAAGAGTGGCATGCAAGCCCATGTACACCACCACAGACAGTTACAGCGACCACACTGTGGAGAGTTTTGTAGCCGAACCCCATTTTCCCCAGGCCGACCCTGCTTAGCTTCTGAAAGATCCCTTGAGAATGGTATGCCATAGTCCTAAACCTTCTCCAAACCCATTTCTAAAACACGAGCTACCTGAGACGCTGGCTACCTCTCCCCAAGGTGTGGCTAAAGCCAGCCCTCATCTGCCGCTTTCGATCAATAGCCAATCAGACCTTTAACCCTCCACGAGCAGGGGACTGCAACTGTGGACACTATCAACTCGCTGGGAACAACTCAAGCGTGGAGACGCTTCTTTCTTCGAGGTCCCTAGCCCTTCGCTTTGTCTTTGCAATCAGCTGTGGGCTAAGACCGTGTCTGGGAAGAGAAATGTCAAGGCGGAAACGGCGGCGTGTCTAGCCACTGCCCAGGCGAGGAGAGAGCACAAAGGATAGAGCAAGGCTTCGCGCGCCAGAAGCCGTGGGCGTGGCTTGTGCGGAGGAGGGCGTGGCCCGCGCGGAGGCGGGGCTTCAAGGTGCCGGCCTCTGTCCTCACCTGAGCCTGGTTGGGCCGGGCCGGCGGAACGCCGGGGCTCGCTTTCCACGTCAGGAAGCGTCTCAGCCAGCCCGGGGCTGCCTTTGCGGTCGCCGCCGCTGGGACCGCCTTCTCTGCCGAGGTCTGCTCGCCCTGAGCCACCAGCCCGGCCCGTTTGCGGGCCTCCCGGAACTCGGCTAACCTCTGTTCCATGGCACGCGCGCGCCCGTGCTCGGGGGCGGTGGAGTGGGACCGCCTCGGCCGCCCTGCGCCTGCGCAGGTGGCTCTCTGTTGCGCCTGCGCGCTGCGGTCGCGCCCGGCCGGCCGTTCCCCGGGGATTGTGACGTCGGGTCGGCAGCTTGCCGCTGGAGCGGCTCCCTCCCGACGCTCGCGCGCGGCCGGTCCGTCTTCTCCGTGCGCCTCGCCTCTGCACACCGGTCCCCACCGTCCCGCCTCAGCTTAAGTGGAAGAACGCCTGCTGGGAGCCAGCGGTCCGCACCGCGGCGAGAAAGCCATCCCAGGGCGAGGGAGGAGCCGGGGGCTCCCACGGGATCTCGGCACTCCACGAAGTCAAGAGAGCGAGCCCATGAAGAGCTGATGATGATGGGCGATACCTTCTAGGGGAGGGGAGGCAGTTTAATGTGTGGGCTCTGGAGGCCCAACCACACCGCAGTTGGCAGCACAGGAATGGGAGTCTGTGGGCTTAGGGGAAAAAAAGGACAAGGTGAAAGGGGACCAATGTGGGAGGAGTTAGGGAGAGGAGTGGGCGTGAATTTGACCAAAGTATGTGGTATGCATGTGTGAACTTTTCAGAAATTAATAAAAGCAAGACATGCAAACCTTAACTGCAGTCTCAGCCATGCACTTGTATAACGTCCACTCAGGAAAGGTCATTTCTAGAACTCCGGGTGTTCTTGTCCCTTCTCCCAACTAGCATTTACCCAACAAAATACAATTCAAGGTTTGACTGTTTACAGATTTTTAAAGCTCTAAGCTAAGAACCTCTTGCAGAATTGGGTCTCAGATACTTTTTGCGTATTGTTGAGTTAGAGTAAAAAAGCTAGAAAATGGCATCCCGTTCATTAACAAACGTTTGTCTAGGTCTGTATATTGAGCACTATACCAAGCATTAAGCATTAGGGCAAGAGGCAGAAGGGCAGGTCATACATGAAACAAAGACTTTTTTCTACATCGTAAATTGGAAAGACGAGCAACTGACAAATAACACTTCATATTTAATGGCAAGTTCATCTTTAATATCAAGTGCTAATAAATGCTGCAAAGCAGACAAGAAATGGAGATGGTGCTGTGTGATCAGTGTTCAAGGAGGACCTCTGAAAGAGGCTGCTGTTTAAGCAGAGACTAAACGGAGTGAGTGACTATGCATGTAGCTGTCTGGTCAGGAGTGCTTAAGTCAGAAGGAACATCAAGTTCAGGGTTCTGAGACTAGCTAGTGTGCTTGACCTCAGAGCATCCTGAAGACCAGCAGACCACAGCAGGAGGAGGAAGGGAGAGTGTCTTAGTCTGCTACCTGTTGTGGTTTGGTCTGTTGGTTAGCAGCTCAGTATAAATTAATTGCCTCTAATATTATTTTCTATCTCTGTACTCATTGCCATCCTGGACAACCAGGTGAATGACACTGAGGCCCTCTTCTTTTCTGGAGAGTAACTAAAACAGAGAGATGATGGAGTAAACATTGAAAGTCTGGGCTATGCCGAGGGTCTGGGGTGCCTGTTGTATATCCAGATGAAGGCTATTGGATAGTGAAGACTGAATTTAGAAGAAGTAATAAATGGAGACTTGCAATGGAACCAATTAGCTGTGTGTGATGTTTAAATTAAGGCGAAATCAACTAGATAGCAACTGTGCACCAGAAAGTGATGTGAAGGCTGAGTTGTGAATGAATTTGAGGTGGTAAGATTGGGGAAATGGTTACTTTTGTTTTGTAAAATTTTAAATTGTGTGTGTCTGTGTGTGTGAGTGCAGTTGCTTGTGGAGACCAGAAGGTGGTGTCATGAGTAGCTGGGTGTGGGTTCTAGTAACTGAACTGTCCTCTCTGAGAGCAGTAAGCGCTCTTAGGAGCCGTTTCTCCAACCCCCAAAGTGGAATTTCTTTGCCAGTGTCACCCTGAGGGGCCATGAGACATTTCTTGCCTATCAGAAGTTAGTAGATCTCCTTCTCCCTAGAGACTTTGTGTTCATTGCATCTGTCACTTGACAAGAATGCTACAACCTTGGAGCTATGTTTATGGTCTACATCTAGAAGGCATATAGAATTAATAAATTGGCATTCATGGGCTGTTGTAATCAGTGTCCTTGATAGGAAATGTGGTGCCTTCAAAGGATTAAGTGAAGAGGCTTAATTAGGAAGGTGTGGCAGAATTAGGGAACCAATAAAGGATCGTTGGGAGGATGACGTCTTGCCATCATCTGGAGCTGGAACAGGAGGGAAAAAGGTCGCCTGTGAAGGAGCATAGGGTGGGTAGGAAGAGTGGGGGGAGGGTCAGCAGGGGCAAACTGGGACTTTGCAGGCCAGTGCTGACTTTGTTCCTTGCTCTGCCTTGGATTTGGGGACCCATTTTCCATCTGCTGTGCTTTTCCATGTTGTGGATTGGTTTTGGTACGTTGTAAACTTCCGAAAGTCCTTTTTGGAAGAGGTTGAAAGGTGAGAAAAGGGAAAAGATGAAGGAACAACCATGAGGAACAACTCCTGCCAAGCCAGCTTCCTTTCCTCTTCAGACAGACTAGGTAGGGAGCTCAAGAGGATGCTTGGGGGTTAAGAGCACCTGCTGCTCTTGCAGAGGACTGGAGGTTGGATTTCACCATCCACATCAGACTGCTCACAGCCGCCAGTATCCCCAGCTCCAGGGAATCCAAGGCCCTCCTCTCCCCTCCTCAGGTACCCATATGAGCATGCATACACACAGACACATAGTTAAAAATGATAGTATGAATCTTGAAAAATGAAAGGGATCATGGGGCCAGGTGGTGGTGATGTACACCTTTAATCCCAGCACTCAGGAGGCAGAAGCAGGCAGATATCTGTGAGTTCAAGACTATCCTGGTCTACAAAGTGAGTTCCAGGGCAGGCTCCAAAGCTACAGAGAAACCCTGCCTCAAAAAACAAAGGGGGTGGGAATTGTGGAAGGTTAAATAAGTGTCTCCCGGAGGGTTAGAAAGGTCACTCTGAGGTTTAGAGGTTTAGAACACTTGTTACTCTTACAAAGGACCTGGGTTTGATTCCCAGACTCTGCACAGTAGTACACAGCCATCTGTAACTACAGTTTCAGGGGACCCAGCATCCTCTTCTGACTTTTTTGGGCACCAAGCACACACATGGTGCACGTATGTACATGCAGGCAAACAATCATAAAATAAACCTTTACTTTTTCTAAAAGAAGTATACTCTAAAATGCACTCAATGTGTGATTTTCATGCATCTGATTTCCCTTGGGAAAGCAGAGGGATGAGTGGCCCTCAATACTGTCACCCAGTCACTGAAACCAGGGTTCTGATAAATTTCCTACAAGGCTAAGAACCAGACTGGACAGCTAAGAAGTATTTGGTCCAAATTGCTAATTGTTCCAGGATTGAAAACCCACTTAAGCAGAGACAGTGATAGTCTATTGAAAACCCACTTAAGCAGAGACAGTGATAGTCTATTGAAAACCCACTTAAGCAGAGACAGTGATAGTCTCTTTGAAGCCTGGACCAAAAAAGATTGTGTGTGTGTGTGTGTGTGTGTGTCTACACATATTGTGTATGTGTATATCTATACATATGTGTGTGCCCATAATAAACTTGTACATATATATTTTTCTTGTCATTATCATCTAAATAGAAGATAAAATGTAGCCACAAGCAAACCACCTCATGCAATCCTATGTCCAGTATCACAAAACCAGGCCGTATTCAAGTTGAGAGACAATTTCTATCTTTAGTGGAATGAACTACAAAGAATGTATAAGTATCTGTCATTTACCACAAAATCAGATGCTTTGGAGTAGGCCAAGAAAAGTTGAACCTAATTTTCTTAACCTCTGTACATATATAAAATAATATATCACATATATGCATATGTGTGTATGTGTAAGTCATAAATAATAATATACCCATATGTCCTGTGACCCTGTGGCATATTTTGTGTGTGGGCTATAGTTATGTACTCACTCTGTATCCATACCATTAGAGTCTGTATGAACTTCTCCATTCTTTTGTTTTTAGACTTATTATTATGTGTATGTGAATGGATCTCTCTCTCTCTCTCTCTCTCTCTCTCTCTCTCTGTGTGTGTGTGTGTGTGTGTGTGTGTGTGTGTGTGTGTGTGTGTGTGAGTACAGGTGCCTACAGAGGCCGGATTCCCCAGCCTCTGAGAGCTGGAGTTACGCTGAAAGCTGCCTGATGTGGGTGCTAGAAACTGAACCTGAAACCACATCTTCTGCAAAGGCACTCTTAATTGCTGAGATATCTCCCCAGACCCTCCTCTCCATTTTTTTTTACTTAAATCCAAACTTTGGAAGTTGCTTTGTATCCTAAGGTATCCAAGCAGGGACTTGAAATGAGTTCTGTTTGTAAATGAGCCCTCTGAGAACTTGCAACACCTAGTCAACTGGTCCAGGAATAAGGAGACACAGCTGGGCCATGGTTAATCAGCTAACCTATGGACCTGCACTTTCAAGCTGAACTGTCCAGCTGAACCCCACTTTAAAAAGCTGATCCATGGCTTACCCAAAATGTATAATAATTCATATTGTATATGCTTATTTTATAGCGCTGGAAGCTTGTAGTTGCTGGTTGCACAGCAAAATCTAACCAGTCCATACCCACTACTGATGAAAATTAACACTTCCCTTGAAGCCCCTTGCAGTCCTGTGTCCATTTCTGGTTCTTTCTCCTCACTCCACTCAGTTAACAGATTTTCTGTTGTTAAATCTTTAAAAAGTGTTTTTGGAATTACTTACTTTATGCATATGAATGCTTTGCTCACACATACTGAAAGACCCCAGGCGGGGGACTTTCACGGGAGGGAGACCCGAACCCAAGGAACACCGAGGCCACGAGCTTGGATGCAACAGCAAGAGGCTTTATTGATAATACACGGGTACCCGGGGCATCTCAGTCTCGGGAACTGAGAGCCCCGAGCTGGGGACTCAGGGGTTCTTTTATAGCAAAAAGCGCAGTACAGAAGCGAGAAGCCTAGTTACGGGACCCTGATTGGGTAATTTAAATGAGGCTGGGGCTCAGAACGAGGGCAATTAAGGTTTCTCCCATCTGGACAGAGAGGCAATTAAGGTTTCTCTCAGAACTCAA